TGGTCGAAATGTTATATAATAGTTCGGCTTCCGAGCGGGCGATGATTACATAGTTATATGATCAAACCTGACTTTAACGGTCCCCCTAATTTATTTAAACAGTTTATCCCCAGATATAAATTATTTAAATTAGCAAATAAACTTATGGGCAAAAATCTAAAAAAGAAAACTGATTATCAATTTTTATAAGTAAAAATTTTTTTATTTGGGTTTTGCCCATAAGTCTAACACATATTTTTTTATAAGCATCAATAACATTAAAATTTTTATTTAATATTATCGTAGAATAGATTTTGGAACTAACATTTTGTCCGTTTCTGCAAATATAATAAATGCAACGTGAGTGGTGAATGTTACGAAAAAGTCCTTGAAAAGAATATTTTAAAACATTTGTCACTATTTTCTTTTTTGATAAGAAAATCTTATCAAAAATGATTAAAAATATATCTAAGTTTTTATTTCTTCTATTATTTGTGTACGATTACTATATCTATTCACTACTCACTACTCAATTACGATTACAATTACGATTATACGAATAACGTCCCACCTACCTTCCTCAGATTAGCAGTTCTTTAAATACAAAAAATATGTAATACAAACATTATTTACTTGTAAAGTACTTGAAATATTATGTCATATGTAAGGGTTAAGTCTCGCCTGTTAAACTAGTATTCTGTTGTAAAAAACAAACTGTAACGGCTAATAAAAAATAAATAAAAAATAATTAAAAGGTGCATGCCAGAAATCAGCTAAATCTGTTGATTTAAAAGGGAGATGTGATTAGTTTATATGTATCAAGGTTATATATGTATATTTTATTACGCAAAATATGTGACCTGAAGATTATGCAAAAAAAATTCTATTTTTTGAATTCGCCTATGATTTACGTGATTTTCTACTAAGATATTTTTATAACAGATTGAAAGCCCTAGCTTTTGGTTACAAGATAATATGTATTTCACTTCTGTAGCATTAAAATTTGCAGAGGTATTCGTGTTTAAATTCAAATGTCTGTGAAAAATTTCACTCAAATTTTCTGGAGTTTTTCATAATTCTGACCAGAATTACAGATAATTTATGGCAGAAATTTTTCACGGATATTCGATTTTAAACACAAATAACTTCGCAAATATCAATGCTACCGAGATGAAACACAAATTTTGTAGCCAAGAACAAGGCCATTCTTTCTATATTAGAAATATTTTAATCAAAAATCATGAGCAAAATTGAAAAAGTGTAAAAAAAAAAATGAAAATTTCTAGAGATTTTCACATTTTTTCAATGATTTTTGATTAACATATTTCTAATGTAGAAAGAAAGGCCTTGTTCTTGACTATAGAATTATATGTGTTTCATCTCGGTAACATTGATATTCGTGGAATTATTCGTGTTTAAAACCAAATGTCTGTGAAAAATTTTTGCCATAAATTTTCTGTAATTCTGGTCAGAATTATGACAGAAATTTTCACGGACGTCAGCTTAAGCATGAATAACAATACTACTGGAATATACACATATCATTTTGTAGCCAATCAAAAAATGTAAAAAAATATTCAAATATCAAAAATTAGAGCTTATTTCTGAATTCTGACCTATTTATTTATTTAATCCTATATTGTATAACATTATAATTTATGTAAATATATCTATATTACATTAAACCAGTCATATTTTAGTAGCAGGTGGCTACTAGAAAAAAAATACTTGCTAGTTATATATTAAAATCTTTAAAAATATCATTTGACTTTTTTTTCAATAATTATTCACAATAGAATAAAAACATAAAGAAATAAAAAAAAAAAAAGACTAGACTATTATTTTTTGTGGTAGTTGTAATTCATTTCCCCCATCCAATAAAAAAGCGATAATAATAATTATAATAATAATATTACAGTATTTGCTATGAAGAAACATCTACACAAAAAATAAGAATAATAAAACTAATAAAACTTGCCATTTTTTTTTTACCCTAAAATACATTTTAACATTTAAAATTATTCAAATCTAATACATGTTCATATATTTGAAAAATGTTTATCTGAATGTTCAAAAATAATAAAAAAAAGAATCATAAATTTTTTTTAAAAAAAAGAATGGAAATCTTAAGAGGTTCATTTCACTTATTCATTCAAGGAGAAGAAAAAAAAAACTAATAATAAAAAAAAAACTAATTATCAAATAAAAATAACACAACATTATTATTAATGAGTACTTGTAAACAATGTTCAAGAATTTTTTTTCCATGAAATCTCATTAAAGCCAAACTAATATTTAATATAAAAGTAATATTTATATATTTATTGTATTGTGCTAAGTAAAATATACAAGGTTTTAAAAAAAGTGACACTGATTCGTTTTATATGTAAAAATAGGTGATAATTGAAGATATTGTCTTGTTTAAAGTTAGGGTCAAGTCATTAACTCAGTTAACTGCTGATTTTGCCACATTCTCAAAAGCGTAAACCACCAGTATAACCTAAATGGTTTTTTCGCAAATGTTTGATAATTGAATTTTAGCATATAAAATCAAACTAAAGAATAATGTAATAATACCTAGTTCAAATGGTGTGCTTACAACTTTGAAAGCGTCAAATTGGTTGAATACAAGTGTGACATTGTTTGATTGTTCAAGCCTGATACGATAGAGTTGAATTTAGTATTTCACTAATATACGTAAAAGAAAGTTGGAAATTAACATAATATGAACCCTGATTTAAACTTTCAAGAGTTTCAACTTGTCCTGATGTCAGTGTTTGAAGTGGCAAGTAAATTAATAATTCACACTAGCAAGAAAAAAAATTTATTTTACAATTATAGACATTTTGGCTGGTCTTTTTTAACATTTGTCATAGTCATTATTAATTACAATTTCACACAAAAATTCCCACTTTATGTACTAAATTATATAATGAATAGACATGTTTTTCTTGAATTACTTGGATTTTTTAATTTAGACTGACATATTTTTTAATATGTACCATTTTAATAGTAATTCTGAGGTGTTGATAATTATAATGTTGAACGTTATCTAACGACATGTTTTACAGGATTTAACTAAAATTCTACAATAAATTTCGCGTACTGATAAATTATCTTTTTTTACTACGCATATTCATTTTTTTGAAGCATTTCGTCATAACAAGCGTCTATCTTCTTATTTTACACGAGTAGAGAGTAATGATAAAACTATTTTTTTCGCGTACTGATAAATTATCTTTTTTCATTTTTTTTTGAAATCTATCTTATTATTTTACAAGTAGAGAACCATTTTTTTTTCACGTATTGATAAATTACCTTTTTTACTACGCATATTCATTTTTTTTTGAAGTAACAAGTATCTATAAAAGCAACAATGGCAACAAATCCTATTAGCCCTAGCTGCTATTTTACACAATTATACTTTTATCATTTAAAGAAGCCTAAACAATCTTTCAATTTACAGAAAAAATGTTCAGAATCGTAAAAAATTTACCCACGGCTTTAATACAGTCAATTCGACAGTCATTTAGGAACACTCCACAACTGGTAAGAGATAATGGTGATGTAGTAAATTTTTATTAAGGATATAAATAATGTAATTTTTATTATTCAACAATTAGATACTAAATCTGAAAGGCAGTTTAGAGGTTCTTTTTCGAAGGATGATAATATAAATTGCGTTGAATTATCGAACAACATTAGTTTAAGAATAGAAAGAATAACCTCCAATGTCACAAAATGTTCTTTGTTGACTGTTGACAAAAGAAAAAAAGAAAAAAAAAATTCCTAAAGACATTACGCTTAAAGATACTACAAATAAAATCAATGTACACGCAACTTGTATTAAAGGGGGTTGAGTATTTTTTGATGCCATAGGCTAAAAACTACGCATTAGTTCGGAGTTGTGCCCAAATACTCACATTCAAAAACCAAAAACAATCATCGATTGAAAGATTAATTAAATTTCGATACTCCATAATCCGAAATCAAATAATAAATAAAATTTTACTAATAAGATAGTATTTTTATTTTATATCTATTATTTATAATTCAATTTCTTATATTATACATTACTTTTCCTTTATTCACTTTTTACAACTACGCCCCTTTCCTTTGTTTTCACTGATGGTATTTGTTTACAATACATTACTTTCGTTCGCACACTCTTATTTTGTTCGGTCACACATTTCCACTGTGGTGACGACGAAGGATTGGTAAGATGTTACAAAGATGGCAGTGCAGAAAACATGTGGTGTGGGAACACAAATGATGAGAATGATGAAGTACAAATGATGGGAATGGAAGGAAGGAAAAAAATGATGAGAGAAATATAAAAGTAGCAGTAGTAAAAGAAGAAAAAGTCTCAACAGGATAAGTGCCTATCGCCCACACAACAGTTAAATTCGACTCCCCTTTATTCTAACAATAATCGTGTCAGCGAAACATGGCATTGTGCAAAACGTTTCTAATTAATTAAAATACGCATCAATACCAAGTATGATAAAATTTTCCAAATCGGTTACCCAAGAAAACAAAGTAATATAAATGATCGCCAAAGAAAATAAACGTGCGTTTTTTAAGAAATATTTTTTTATTAAATTAGCTAACATGCGAAAAAAAACAAATAATGCATCTTGGTCTATCGATCAACCAAAACAGTACTTAACACCATTAAAGCATAATATCCATGATAAACATAGTTATAAATCAATCAATTTACAAATTTAAGAAAATAAAATACCCCTTTAATCGTAACAAAGTAAATACTATGCCCTCGATCTACATGCTGCGCAGCTAACCTTATTGTTACTGTAGTGCAGTCATAATTGCGTCATTACGCAAGTCACATAAAGATTTACAGTTGAAAAATACGTCACGTCATACGTCATTATATAACTTAGTTACAGAAGTCTACACCTAAAGTAACAAAGCTTTTAGGAATAAGCCAAATATTAAAATAAATATTATAATAAATAATCTATAAAAATGTAATATATAAAATCCTCCACATTAAAATCTTATTCTTGGTCGATTGTTATTTCCAATGAATCTATTGTGTAATTAAAAAAAAAATTTAAAGTTTTTATTGCTTGATTGAAATTCAATTAATTAAATATTTACCTGGAAATTCTATGATTTCTAAATTATCTCTAGTATCTCTTGAATCATCCCTCGAATCTTCTGAAATTATTCTTGCATTCCTAATATATTCGCTTAGGGGTCAACTCACACCATATGCATCAGGATGTTGTGGGGATGATTCTAATTCATCATTTTTGGCCATTTCTTTATCAGCACGTTTAAATATTTCATAATATTCTGGATTATTGATTTTATTAGATGAAGCATTATACCATTCACCAATAATAATACACAATTCTTCACTTGTTGGTCTATTAGAAGGTTCATTTTCCCAACATGATTTCATTAAATCTTCATAAACTTTTGGAGTTCCTTTTATGATTTGTGGAAAAACCCCATCACAAATATCTAGAATCAAATATTCATCATGTGGATTATTATTAAATGGAGCTTCTCTTGATGTTAATTCCCACATAACCATTCCAAAACTGTAAACATCGGATGCTGGAATGAATGGTTTTCCACGTAAAACTTCAGGTGCCATATATGGAATTATTCCATAAATTTCACCAGATGGTAATTGATAATCTGCTGGTTTACATGATCCCAAATCACTCAAATAAGTTGTATAATTATTTAATAAAATGTTACCAGGGTGAATATCACAATGCATATATCCTTTATCATGAAAATTCAAAAGTGCGATCGTCACTTTATGTAACATTCTTAATCTATCTTTCCAGAGCAATGATTTAGTTTTATTTCTAATGATACATTTCCAATCTCCTTTATTACAATATCTCATAATTATAGCATATTCTTTCGTTGAGGGTTCTCGAGTTATACCAAAAATTTTAACAATAAAAGGATACCTATTTTTAAGATGTGCATTAATCTGTATTTATTTATTTATTTATTCATTATTATAAAGATAAATGTTAATTTAATATTTAGGTGTCATGTTATAAATAATACTAATAATAATTATTATTATTATAATTATATGATATATATATAATGTTTCAAATATTTACCTCTTTAATAAAATCTTCGTTAATATTTTGTGAATTTTTCAGTTTCTTCATTGCTACTTCATTCGAATAACCATATTTACTATATTCTATTGGTATATTATTCCATTGAGCTTTATAAACTTTCCCAAATCCACCTTGTGATAAATATTTAATATCATTTAATTCATTATATTCAATCCATCTCCAACAATCCCAATCATAACATTTAGGTATTAATTGATATTCTTGAATTAATTGATTAATTTGATCATTTTCACTTGTCCATAATGTAAATGTAGGTATTATTTCAAGTGGCTTACAATTTGGACACCAATTATTCTTTTTGATTTTTTGTTCTCCGCAATCATAACATTTTCCATAGTCATAATTATAACAATTTTTACATTTAATATAATTCCTTTGTTGCCAACAGATACTACAAATACTTATTACATTCTTGGATTTTTTTAAAAATGAAAAAAATGATTTGATATTTTTTTTGATATGTACCATTCCTATTTAAAAATAAAAATAACAATTTTTTAGGAAAAATAGAATTATGGATTTTTCTGTCATCAAAAAAATTCGCCCACAAAATATAAATAATTCTTAAATGTGTACAACGTATTATCATATTATATAATATACATTTATTTATGTTTACGTTCTGTCACACTCTATAGGGATTACGACACGACCAAAAATGTAGGCTTGTTCACTGCTTTAAAAAATATAAAAAAATGTATATATATATAATTAGCTTTCATTATAATAACCAAATGTATAAATATTAAAAAATTTCAAATATCATATGTAAATTATTATGAGAGATTTTATTCATGCTAAATAAATATGTAAATATTTTACAATCTGCTATTACAATCCAATTCTTGAACTTCTCTGCGCATATATATATATATATATTAACATAAAACCCTTCGAAATATTCAAAAATATCCATAAAAAAAAACTATATAAAAATGTAATAATCAAGAACAGAAAAAATCTCTCATATATATATAAACTGAATATTTAATTTCAGTTTATAAAAAATTAGAATTGTAAAAAAATATATATATATAACTGATATATATAAAAAATATACCAAAAAAAACAAGACAAAAAAAAACTACAGAAAATATATATAAAAATTCGCCCAAGTTATTATTCGTTTAATTGCTTCACTCAGGTAAAGTAAAATTTTTTTTTAAAAAAAAAACACGAGAAAGAAAAAAGGAAGAGAAAGAGAAATAGAGAGGAAGGGGAGGGGTGAAATATCAAAAATAATATGTATATATATATATATATATATATATATATATATATATTAACAAAATGATAATAATTAATCTTTGACTCATTCTTCCATTTGATTAACTTCTATATTATTATTGATAGAATCTTCAGCTATCGATGCTGCTGAATTTGAATATTCTGAATTAGGAGGCATCGTTGATGAAATCAATGTTGGAGTTGTATTGGTGGTGGTGGTGGTGATGGAAGTAGTAGGAATAGATGGTGTAGCAGTTGTAACTAAATTATTGTCGATCGCAATAGGTGAAGTGCTGTTAGGATCAGTTGTGATTTCACGTGGATGATTCTCAAAGAATTTAGCTGAAAGTGTATGTGAATATCTTCCTCTTCGTGGTCTAGGTTCTCTGGTGTATTTATCTCGATACATATCTACTACGGTTTGTAAAAGCGATCCCTTCCCATCTAATTTAGGACGATTCATGTATGCCTGCATATTATTTATTTAATTATGATTAATTATTAGAAATTATTAATTATTAAAATTTATTATAATTATTAAAAATATTAAAAAATAAATAAATTAAATTGAATAGAATTAAAAATAAATTAAATTGAATAGAATTAAAAATAAATTAAATTAAATTAAAATAAATTAAAATTAAATTTTAAAAAATTCATACCAGTTTCCAACCCAATTCATTACACGCTGTTTCTGTTTCCCAATTTGTTCCTTGATAATTTTCTTTCGGAACCAACGCTTTGGAATATACACAATTATCTCTTTTAAAATCATCGGGTATAACTGAAATATTAACACATTCTATATCTGCTCTTATACGAATCTTTGTAACTATTCCTTTGTCTACAGTTTCCACCGTTAATTGTTTACTTCCATTTCTTTGTCGTTTATTACTATTATTATTCGAATTATCTAATCCACCATCTCTTGTATCGTTATCTCGAGTAATCCTCTTACGTAACGTTCCATTCATAATCTTTTCATTTCGTACCACCCTTCGAGATCGTAATGAGGGATCCCGATTTCGATAACTATCAACCGCTCTTTGTAACAATCCCCTTTTCCCACCAATTTCCTCTTGATTAAGCCAAGATAATTTCCAACCTAATTCATTACAAACTTTTTCATAGGCCCATCTATTCCCTTGATATTTATCTTCGGTACAATTGGCTCTAGGGTAAAGACAATTGGCTTGTCTAAATTTTTCATCAACGTTATCAAGATTAACATTATCAATATCGATACGTATACGATATTCTTTATTATTTCCTTTGACTGAATACGTAAAGACGACCCATTGAATACCATCATGCACCTCTATAACTGGATCGGTGGCTGGAAGTGCATGATTAGGAGTTGGATTAACAATAACATTATTATTATTATTATTATTATTATTATTATTATTATTATTATTATTATTATTATTATTATTATTATTATTATT